AGTGAAGTGACAGCAGCGTCCGAGTGCAGAAGAGGTTAAACTCCGGGAGTCGGAAGAGCGAGTTTTCCGCCTGTTACTGTTATTGTTTGTGAAGTTGACGGTAATTTAGAAGTTAGTTTGTTCCTGTTCCGCAGTTAAAGTTGTACCGAGTGGAATAAAAGTTGGAAGCAGAAGAAAGAGTTTAATACTCGGCCATCCACGGTGCAATATTGATATAAACATGTGGTTTCAGGAAGATGTTGCCACATGCGATACAGCTCGTGAAACAACTCAATTGCTGCATAAGACATTTTCTAGTCGTGTATTTTCTCGTTTCGGTGACCAGAATTAGCCTCTGGGAGATCTTGGGATTTAAGACCATTAGATTTCTTTTTTATGGAGTCATTTGAAGTCAAAGGTCTATGTTAACAAGCCCACAACCACCCGTTCATGACAGGAGGCAATTAAACGCGGCATCAACGAAATAAAGCCACTATTATGCAAAAAGGGGAGTTTTTAAGTTTTAGTTTTGATATTTTCAATGCAACTCATTTACGGTGTCGCCTCCCTGATTTTACATAACAAAAGTAATTATATTTGCACTTACCTTAAATGGGTTTCCACTCCAACTTCCCTTCATTCCATCACTAGGAAACAATGACTGTACTCCATTAGACAAACCATTGCTCTTTGCCAGTTGATCCTGAAATGGATTGATCTGTCCGTGGGACGACTGTGTACTATTTAACGCGTTCATTCCGCTTAAACCATTGGGCCCATTCGAATAACCGTTGCTAAAACCATTGCCAACTGACCAAGGTGACGAAGACTGACTAATTCCAAATGGGTTGACTATTTGCGAATTGTTCTCTTGCAAATTATTGAAAGCGCTCATAAATTGGCCTAAAAATAAAATGAAAAATATTCAATGCATCAAAATTGAAAAGTTTTATAAATATTAATGTAGAAATCATAATCGCGAGATTTTACAACAATTTTCAAAGAAAGATGATGTAGTCTTATTTTGAAGTATACAAGGCCGATATTTTTTTTAATGCAAAGTCTCCTTTGTAATCCAGATTGAGGTCCTACATTGCATTCGAAGTATTTTTTGTATAACATACTATATGACTAGTTCAATAGTTTTGGACATAGCGGCGTTTAAACATGAGAACGCCACAAAATGTACCCAATTTTATCGAGAGTTCAGGAGAGGGACTTTTTCACATTATTATCCCCCCACTTTGCCCTTAATGTGCGTAGCTTTTTACATCGATCGTATCCTCATAGATGACTAGAAAGGAGCGCGCATATTAATTGGCCAGCCAGATCACCTGACTTCATCTTTTGTGACTTTTTTCTTTGGGTTAGTCAAAGAAAAAGATCCGAAGAAAGGAGAAATAAAACGTGCTTTCTACGAAATATCCTCACAAATTCTACTAGAAGTTCTTCAGAACAAAATTAGAAAATTAAAATTATGCTAAAATTACATCGCTTATTTCAGTAAAACAATTAATGTTAAAGTTTACTTTTGTTGCGTTCCTATATTTAAATATCGTTATGTCCAAAACTATTGAATCCAGTCGTCACATAGTATGTTATACAAAAATACTTCGAATTCAATGTAGAATCTGAATCTATAATAAGTAACATAAATAAATAGCTTGGAGACAACCAGCCTCTGTTTCTGTACGACCCAAGAAGGTGTCGCTTCGCTGACTCACTCTGTATAGCCTACTACAATTAGAATTCACACAACTTGATTTGTTAGATGTACAGTTGGCGACACGTAAAAGTAGACGATTAAATAGTTGTGGTGTAAATGCACTTGAAAAAATTATTCAAATAATTACTTTAATGAAAGAAGGATGGTCTAGGAGCTTTGGAAAACCGAAGAGCACTATTTATAAAATGTTAAAGCAATGGAGAGAACATGGAACTGTAGACGCGAGATGGGTTTGTTGAAGAAACAACATATTTAGAAGACGCTAATCTGGTCGCACATCTTCAGGAATCCCCTTTTTAACGGCTTTGGAAGCTGCACACATTACAGCCTTCCATGCGTCGCAAAGAATTGCGTAGCGTCGAGTGAGGCAATTTTCAATCTTGATATGTGGTGCAGCTGCACCGAAACCATGTTTAAATCAACAAGAAAGAGTTGTCTATGCCATGGAGCTTTTGATAAAAATCATAATTTTTGGGATATTGTGATTTTTAGTGACAAAAGTGTTTCAGTCGTCGCATAATGGCAAAGTTCGAGTCGTCCCGCATGCAAATTCAAGATTTATTAAAACATATACACGAATACATCCGAACAGCGGTAGGTTTTCTGTCAACGCGTGGGCTTGGGTAAGCAGTCGTGGACCAGTAATATGGCTGGCAGGTTGAAAAGCGAATCTTTTTTAAGTTATATTAGAAAACGTTTTCCTTCCATCAGCAAACCTACTTCTTGGAAATAACAATAGTTTTATTTTCCAACAAGACAACTGCGCTGTTTATAAATCCAGAATAGTGGAAAATTGGTTATTTGAAAATGAAATTAACGTTTGCCAGGTGTCCTCATTTAAATCGAATAGCGAATGCGTATATAAATACATAAGTAAAAAGATGTAGAGAAAAATGTAGGTCGCAAAACCACCATAAATTATGGTAAAAAATTGAAGAGACCTGAGATCAGCTAACACCAAAATACACACGCACCTCAATTCGTCCCATGCCCAGACGTTTGAATCTAGGTTTAGATGCTAATGGGGCAGTATAAAATTAGTTTTTAATATATCTACAAGAAGAAGTTAGTGTGTAAACAATGGTCAAAACGATCCAAAATGGCTAAAATTGTATATGACAAACTTACGAGAAAACATACCAACGTTAAAATTAAAACAGAAACAAAAATAATTAAAAATTAAGCAAAAGAACTTGACTGGTCGGCCCTATCAGTACGGCGAGCAGTCTGATCAGCTTTATCACTTTAGTGCAAATAACTTGGTTGATTGAATTTAAAATATCTTATTAATATTATATTTTTTCAAATATTGTTTCAACATCACCCAGTTTCTTAACAACGTTAAATTTCTTAATCTCTAGAAACCATGAATCATCATTTTCAGATCAATGAGTTATAAATAGCCAGAAGCCTTGAAATTATCTACTTCCTACTTCTTGTGGAAAACATAAAAGTTACGATTACATTGTAGCTTGCTTCTTGGATTCTAAATAAACTGCTAATAATTGTAGATCAATTATAGTTATTGACACACTTGAAGTTTTTGCAGTGGCGAATGAACTCGTAGTAATGAACACTTGGTTTAAACTGCTGCTAAGGAGACGTGGAGATCGCCTGTGGATGGACAGGGCAGAATAATCAGGAACCAGATCGACTTTATGTTACTCAATAAAAGGTTTAGAAATGGCTGCCTGTCCCTCAAAACATATCGAGGAGCTGACATTGGATCAGATCACTGCCTCCTGGTTGGTGTGTTTAAGGTGAAAATGAAGAAGGTCAACACTAAGATGACTCCAAACTATGACCCTCAGATACTCAAAATCCCAGCAATGCTCAACGACAACATTCAACCAAATGAAAACAACAGCGTCGATATGGAACTCAACAAATTAAAACAAGCAGTGGAAATAGTAAAGCAAGAATTGTTGAAACCGGACAAAATGAAGAAAAAATATTGGATGACGACAGAAATATTAAATTTGATGGAAGAAAGAGGACAAAATAAGGGAAATCCAACTGAATATAAACAAATACAATGCATTATAAAACCGGAAATAAAGAAAGCAAAAGAGAAAGAAATACTAGAAAAATGTTGCGAGATCCATCAAAACCATCAAAACACCAATACCATCAAAACATGCACGATAACTGCAATGTTCACAAGAAAGTCCGAGAAGCAACAGGGAAAGGCCACGGAAACAACTGTAAAGCCTTGGTCAACGAAGCAGGAGAAATCATCATTGACGCTGAGAAAAAGAGGGAGAATCCCTGGAAACGTAGCTAGAGAATCTATTCCATGATGTACGCGAAAAACAAGAACCAATTGCAGGAAAGGGACCGGAAATTCTGATAGACGAGGGGCGAGCCGCCATTTCGGAACTGAAGCCACGGAAAGCAGCTGGTCGGGACGAACTACAGACTGAATTCCTAAAATTACTGAACAGACAAAATCAAATGGCTGACTAGAATCTTCAACATTTACTCAACAGGAGAAATGCCAGCGGATTGGTTGAGGTCAGAATTTATCACAGTGTCCAAAAAAGCAAGTGCCAAAACCTGCGGTGATTTTAGAACAATAAGTTTGATGCGTCACCTCTTCAAGCTGTTTCTCAAGATAATACACAAAAGAATATATAGCCTCTGTGAGTAACAGATTTCATCAAGTCAGTTTGGGTTTGTGAACGCCGTCGGCACAAGAGAGGCTTTATTTGGTGTTCAGGTATTGTTTCAGAGATGTCGGAATGTCGGCTGTGATGTATATGCTTGCTTAATCGATTATCAAAAAGCGCTTGACCAAGTCCAACACTATAAAATGCGACATACTGAAGCAAATAGTATTTAAAAAAGCTTTACTGAAGCAAATTTTATTTAATACTGAGTCAAAAAGATGTAAACATAATTATAAACTTATATTGGGACCAGACGGCAGTTTTGAGAATGGAGGGCAGTCACACAGAACAAATAAATACGCTGCGAGGAGTGAGGCAAGGATATGTTTTGTCGCCCATCTTATTTAACGTGTACTCAGAATACATCTTCGAGAAGCACTCGAAAGCATTGAGGAAGGAATCACTATAAACGGTACAATCTTAATAACATAAGATATGCAGATGATACCATCAGGTTTGCAGATAATCTGCAAGGATTACAGAGTTTGATGGATAGGGTTACCAAAATTAGCTGAAAAATGAACGCAAACAAAACCAAACTCCTCATAGTAAGTAAAATAAACATCGCGGAAGACAGTTTATACATCAATCACAGTAGAATACAAAGAGTAAGGCAGTACACACACTTGGGCACAATCATTAACGAGAGATGGGACAACTCTCAAGAAATACGATGTCGCATCGAGAAGGCCCGCTCTGTGTTTATTAAAATGACAAAAAGACATAATATATCCGTAGAGATGAAGCTTAGACTCTTGCGTTGTTACGTCTTCTCGGACCTTCTGTATGGCGCTCTGGCTGTACAGGAGAATACTGAAAATATCTTGGATACATAAAATTACCAACACAGAAGTAATGCGACGGATGAAAAAAGAACCAGAGCTGTTGGATACCGTAAAATGTCGGAAACTTCAATATTTCGAACACATAATGAGGGACCCAAATAGATGTTACCATTTCGCTGATAAGCCAAACCACGATTTCCAAAAACTGTTAACGTGGCATATAGGATAGCCGGGCGGAACAGGACGCAGGGGGGTCCATTGGAAAGAAACTGGACGAGGCCAGTTTTTGATTAATCGTCGGTACAGTCGGTTGCAAGTTGCCAACAAAAGTTATTTTGTGTGAACACATTACGTTTATTTATTTATTGTTTATATGGTCTGGTTCAGGAAATCCTACAGGGCAAAATTAACAACAGAAGAGGACCTGGCCGAAGTAGAATATGTTGGTTGGCAAATCTTAGAACGTGGTTTGACAGATCATCAGCGAAACTTTCCCAAATTGCCATCAACAAAGTAAGAATAGCCAAAATCCGGAGCGGATATGCACTTCAAGAAGAATTATTGTAGTTATAAATATTATAAATTATGATCCTTGCACCACAATAAATAGTGGTCAATTCCAATTATTTCACAACATGGGATGTCAATATCATGTTCTGGAAAATAAAATCAGGTGAGATGAACAACTAAACATAATAAACACACTATACCTTGACTAGGTGATCCAAAAATAGAGCTTTGTGGGGAGGGTGATCCATACGCTGATCCGGTATTCGGCGTAGAAGAACTGTACAGAGATCCTGTTGAACTATTGGTTGAAGTCGACCAGACATCCTAACAAAGGACAGTAGACGATTAACTCGTATATAGAACTATGATTTATAAGAAGTGGTTTAGACTCTTTCTGATAGCAGAAGTTTTTGTCAACATATTAAGCAACTATAACAAATACATAGAAAACGTTTAAAATATATAGAAAATATTGTATTTTTAAAGCGTAGCGTAAACAATTTTTTCTTTCCCTGGTTTCTCAAACTTCAAGCAGTGGCGAATCTTCGACTTTCGTCTCTTATATCGTAATATACTATTAACTCCATGTTTGTAACGCTTGATAGGCGTGATTTTAGTAAATTACTAATTTATTTGATTATACCATTCATTGCCAACATGAATAATCCTGCCAGTTGCTACTGTTTTGTGTGTTTGTTTCTAGAATATAATTTATATATTTCTTTTGGCGTCACTCACCACCATACATGGTAAGTCACTTTTTATGTATTTTTATTTTCAATTTCCTACACCTACTTTCATGACCATGTTGATGTTTTCACATCAGAACAGATGACATCACAACATATTGCAAAATTACCTGATGTTGCTGCTGTTTCATTTCATTATCCAGATCCTTAAGAGCAGCATATTTGTCCTCATTAGATGAAGTATAATTGGGGGGTCCGTGAGAGTTGCCTCTCACGGAGTTTTGAGGATTAAGCGGCGTCTGATAAGTTGAAGCCCAAGCATTGAGATTCGATGGAGTTGGCGTACCTGTAATAATAAATTCACTTTAATTATATAAATATATATTGGTCAAAACGTATTTGTTGGGTATTTTGCCTCACTTCGGAGATTTGCCTCTGCACATTTTGCTCTTTAGATATTGTCAAAGATTTTTCCGACACTTAAATTTAATTTACATCTGAAAATTTTTGCACTTCGTCATCGTGGGAAAAAATAGAGGTAAATCAAATTAATGAAAATGTTCCGGAGAATTTCCCCGTATTTGTTGTCAAAAATATATTTTTTGCTAATATGTTAGGAACCGTTTGAGCTACAGGACTAAGCTTCTGTACACACATTACTAATATGAATAGCTATTTTTCACACTCTATTCGAATTGGACCTGGCAGTGGTGGTGATTTTAAGGTTTGCTATCATTTTTCCGACCACTCTTACGTCACTGAAGAATAGCATATTATGGTACAAGAGAATGAAAGTCGAAATTCGGCCACTGCTTGATGTTGATCCTCGGTGAAAACTAGCCGTGAAAAGTATAAGGTTTTGAAAATGTTGTCAAAACAGTCAGCGTGTGTAGCGAAAATTACTACTTTCCACCAGGAGATCAAGAAAACGATTTGATTGGTAGCGTATTGCAATACTTGCAAGCTCTCGGAAACGAAAAATTGCGGTCGTTGCTTCAAATGACGAACATTTTTGATAGTAAAAAAGTTCTTTTCTAAAATTTTTTGATAAAAAATCAAAGCTGCCATGATGTTTTCTGTCATTAACAGATAGGTACAGGTAGATAGTCTTTGTCAATAATAACAATAATTTGTCAAATGGTGACTTACTTTGAAGCTCCTTTCACGAATTTGCGGATATGCGATTAGTTCTGCGGAAATGCCACAGTAACATAGCAGAAGCTGTAACAACTCACGCCTACAAAGGGCGAGAGACACTGAAAGATAGTGGACGACAATAGATGTTCGGGTTCCAAACACAGAGAAACAAGTATTGGACATAATTGCAGCACAGCCTTCCAGTGGTACTCAGAGCATTACACAACTGACACTTTTCCAGACACCAAATAAATATCGAGGAAGGGCTACGTTCCCACCACGTATGTTAGACAAACAGAGCACAAGGACACATAAAACCAATGGCTGTTAATGGAGTTAATTAACCGAATACGAGAAGCTGGTCGAGAAGAATGCATAAGGTGATTACATAGGCACTAACTTGTTTAGAGTTAAAGACTCAAATGTATGTTTATTTGTAAACATATCAATTCCAGGTTATGAGGACAATAATTCACTTCGGAAAAGTACGTTCGCCATTGAACGAATCCTGTTGAATTTACCGTTTATCTTTGTCTATTTTATTGTAACTTTCTGTATAGTTCCATGGTTACCGGAGTTTGTAATAAATACGAAGCAACAGGTATTTACGTAATGTTAATTAGGCAGATTGCCTTGAAAAACATTGTTGCCATCTTTCTGATATAGCTTTTTTGCAAATTTCTAAGTTTTTAATAACAATTTTTTTTATATCTTTTCTGTACTCCTAAAACACCTCCCGACAACACCTCCAAAGGAATGACGTCAATTTTGAATCACCCTGTATAATGTAATAACCTCAACAAACAAAAAGATGTATACAAAAACAATTGCTACCTACTTACCATTATTACAATCACTATTTGCATTGTAGACTTGGTTGTGTTCGAAATCTGCAAAACCATTTTCCAACTTCGTACTGATCGTGGGTGCATTGCTAGAAAAAATCAAGAACCATTATGTTTTAATTATGATGCAGACACCCATTCAAAGAATCTCGCAGTTAGAAATACGTCCAAAATGTCGCTGGTAAGTAAATAAACACTGTTGTATAATAGGGTGAATTTTTTTAAAGTGTTACAAGGCTATATCTCAGAAACGGTTTCAAATATATTTATAAAATTTTGGGAAAGTAAGAAATAGATAGAGCCACGCATTTTAACATATTTCATTATTCTTCTCAAATTCAATGATGTATTTTTTATTCTGCAATTTGATTCTACATGAAAAACTGTAGGTTTTTTTGGTTACAAAATTATCGATAATTTAAGTTTCATAAAATTTAAATACAATTAAGCATGTTTAAGTCTGTGGATTTTCAAATTGTCTTTCCTATCCATGGCAACGCGTAGTTGCGAGCGTTAATTGAAAATGTTGACGTTTTATCGCTCTTTTCCTCAAGTTATTGTACAGAAAAAGAGTGCAGAAATAATTACAGAAAATCTTCGCTATTGTGGGCGCAAATATTTCCTAACAATCCAAGATCCCACATGGCGTTTAAAAGGTTAGAAACCAGAGGTCGCACAACTAGTAGTTTAAGGAAAAAACGCGAAGCCGGAAATGCACTGTAACAAACGAAAATTTAACCGTGGGAGTTTTAGGAGAGGTCGTTCTTGACCCGCAAGTGAGGACTAGACGTCTTGCTAGAAATGCTCGACTAAGCCAAAAAAAACGGTTATAACCATATTGCACAGGTATAAATTTCACCCATACAGGATCACACTCCACCAAGAACTGTATGAACAAGGCATTCAAAACCGGGTTACGTTTTGCAATCGGGTCACGGGACAAATGGAAGATAATGACATATTTTAATAAAATTGTATTACATTCTCCATAAATAATAAATAATCTTCGTTTGTATAATTTAAGCATCCCGACAAAAATATTAATTATTTCCTAACGATAACTGACAAATGTCAGCATTCCTTTGGCATTTGATTGCATTAAAAATGCCACTTTTGTCATGCCAATGGCACGAGTGACAAGATTTAAAATAGGATGCGGCAAAATAGCCATTTGAAAACATTAAATTGACAGTAATTCGAAAACTAAACACTTTTGGAATGGATTATTTTTATTTTTAATAATAAAAAAGATAAAAATTATCAAAAAAGGGGGTTTCCCTTGAATCAATTGGTTTTAGACGGTTTTCTCAACGTCATTTTGAAACTAATTTTCTATGCACACTTTGCATTAATAGTTATCAACATTTTGTCGAAAATCCATTAAAGTAAGTCATTTTCAACAAGAAATGCGACTTAAATTAAGTAGACCATATTCCCTTATAGGAAAAACGAATAATTATTCGAGTGGCTGCAACTGTAATTTTTTACATAAAATGTCAAATATAAAGAAACGGTTATACTTAGGTATAGGATTTTATGCATGAAATATATTTAGAATTTAGGGCAGAATTCAAAAATGTAATAATATATAGGGTGTTCCATTTAAAATAAGCAAGTTGATATATTCTTCTGGTATAACCGGAAGTGTGGCCATCTTGAAAATATTTTCGGCCGCTTGTCCCCAGTGACTTTATCGCACTGTCCAATTTTCAAAATTCTCCTAATTAGAGGTTGCAATATATCGATGGCGGCGGTTGCCGGTGGGACACCCTGTATAAACCTGGTGTCAAGTGGATGTCAGTTGAAAATATAAAAGTCAGCGGTTATTTTCAAGTAGATCGAACAAAGTTTTTCATTCATCCCTATCGTGAACGTACCAACAAACGGGTAGTTTGTTGGGAATTTAAAAAGGTAATATTTAAAATTTGCACCTTTTTTTATGATAATTTTGTTCATCATCAGCTGATCCAGCAAACAACGGCACCGTCGGGACTTTGGCGTCTGGCGCTCACTGTTTAACTTCGACTTTTTTTTTCTTTTTTTTTCCGGTGAGGTTTAGAAAATGCTCTTTTATACACTCTCAAAGCTGGTGGTCTGTCGCTCTCTGGGTCTTCTTCGACTTACTTTATGAGCGTTATTTAATATTCTCAGGGCGCTTTCATTTTGATCTAAATGTAAATTAATATAAAACGATATCTTACTTAAAAATCTCGGCCTTATCAAAATCAACAGCAAAACCATTGCCTAAATTATTATTGTTAGTCCCGTTCTGGTGATGGTTCTTGACTTCTGGTCGACTTCTTGTAGTCCCATTAGTGAATGTACCATTAGAAATGTGGTTTGTCGATATTTTACTAAATCCGTTCTTGGTTCCATTTTGAAGTTTCGCGCTAGTGCCATTCGTGGAACCCGTCGACCATTGCTTTGTGTTTGGTACCTCTGAAGTTATGGTGGTTTTCATTTCGCTTTTTTCTAGGTAGAATCTGAAAACAAAAAGTGTTTAATACTGGTTTCACAATTAATAGACGCAATTATACAAGGTGTTAGTAAATAAGTGCGACAAATTTCAGGGGGTAATTATGCATGAAAAAATAATGTGCTAAAGTTTTTCTTAAAAGCTGACAATTGTTTTAAATCCGGTTGAGATAGGAAAATGATATTTGGGGGGTTTTAACATGCAGGAAAAATGTTTTATTCAACATTGGCGTGCATACCGGTAATGATCTCAATTGTTTAAAAGAAAAAAATGGTACGCCACCGAAAAATTTCAAATGAGAAATCATTTTTCAAGTCCTTGTGGAATTTGCGACAATTTCTCTAGCCTTTTTCTCATATGGGGCGCCGTTTTGATGCAAAAAAATAAAGCACCTTATAATGACATTATATATTGTTATATTCAGTTTAAAAATATTCAAATTTGGCACCTTTTGATAGAGGAACGGTTGYCGAATGCACGTAAGCCGGTCGCTCACGCAGACGCCCAACAAGGACACGAAACACGCGGAAATAGCGTCGGATTCGTGCGCGGTCAGTCTGTCTGACAAAACCGRAAAACACTTTTTTCTAATATCATCAAGCTCTAAWTTTTTTTTYTWAATTTTCCAACCATTTGTATGGTTTACGTCTCAGCTAGAGCTTACTGACACATTACTTAGACTTTCCATTCTCGCAAAGTGCAAGTATAAATAATTGTACATACCTTTCTGACTGTGACAAGTATAAATAATTAGGCATGAGTAAAATAAGTGGCAACATTGCATTTTGTTTAATTTCCAAGTCCACTATATCAGCTGGAGTCTGCAACCTTTCATACAAACAAGAAAAAAAACGGCTGGAACATAACCGCAATCAAACAGGAGGTTTAAAATTAGGTGTCAAAGTTTTGCCAAAACTGTATTGCAGTGGAGCTTAGGCACAATTTTGTGTGTCGAATCATCCATTATTAGTTCTTAAAACAAGATTTAACAGAACACGGCACTGGGAAATCTAATGTTCAAAGATAAATACAGGGACGTTTGAACTTTTCAAAAGTTTGTAAATGTTTTTTCTGCGAATTTATGGACGATCCGCATTTTTTTCACTGATAGTGCTTTATTTTAAGTGTACTTTAAGGGGAAATTAAAAAGAAAGCGAAACTTTGACAAACATAAAGTACATGAGCACCATGAATCGAATTATAGTCGGCTGTGCGTAATAAGAATTACAACAGGAATACTTGCGCACATACGACAATCAATGTATGGCGCGCGTTGAAGCACCATGCGTTTCGTCCCGGGGCTACCTATTGGACTCGTCAGTAAGGCTTAGGTAGGCCCTGCCTTAGACGCCGGATACGGAACATAGGTTGGAAGTTGGAGCTGCTAGTTGAGAAGTGGCGAATAGAGTTCGCCACAAATGAGACGAAGAGTTTAATCTTGTGTCACGTCTGAGGGAGGTTATTTTGAACATTTGTTGTAGCTTTGAGCATGTTGAAATTTTTGTTCTGGTTTACTGTTATTGTATTAGATAGTTCTTAATAATTAAGTTATACAGGGTTATTCACGCTATACGGCACGGAAGTTTGCGGCTAAACCGTTTGATTTTTAAAAAGTATTATTTTATGAATTGTCCGACGCCTACCGAGCGCACATTTTAAAAATATTTTTGTAATGTACAGGGTGTCCCAAAGGCTCTAAAGGTATCAAAGTTGCGTTTTTTTAAATGAAATGTCCTGTATATTATTGCATTTTTGGATTCGCTGAACAAAACAAATGTCTGTTTTAATAAGGTTTATAATACCTAAATCTTAAGGTTTTTTAAATAATACGAATTTAATAAAAATCTAATCTAATTTTCACGTGTCAAATACTTTAGAAGTATTTAAGTTATGTAAGCGTAATTTATAGTGAAGTGTAACAAGATATAATATTTTATA